TCCCCCCCCCGCCCCCCAGGACCTGTTTGAACTTAGTAGCAAGGCCAGGTGTCTTCCTCAAACCCCAGAGCCTCGTTTCTGCTCTGGGATGTTCTTCCTACAGGGCAGGTGAAAGACACCTGTGCGAAGGGCAGCACTGGGGCCCAGGTGCCTCTGCCAGAGCATTCGGCTGCCATTCCCAGCTGGCTCTTCTTGCCCACTCCCTGCTGCCCTGGGCTGCACCTCAGTTTCAGGGGCTTTGTCCTGTTCATTATGTCCCCATCGTTTTTGGCGGGACAGCTGGACAGGAGGCACCTGGACACGGTGAGGTGTCTGCTGGGCAGAGGGTGGACAGGTTGGTCTCCCTTCCATCCGAGGTGCTGGCCGGGATGAACATCTACCCCTCGGAATTTGAAAACATCAAGGAGGAGTACAACGTGCGGGGCTACCCCACCATCTGCTACTTCGAGTAAGTCCCCTACCTCCCTGCGGATGCCCGCCGCCTCCACGATGGCATTTGCATCCCCGGTTTGAGCCCACATTGTCTTTCCACGTTTTACAGGAAAGGGCGGTTTCTGTTCCAGTATGAAAACTACGGGTCCAGCGCCGAGGACATTGTGGAGTGGCTGAAGAAGTAAGTTGGGCATTTACCTGCAGGCGGGGGTCAGGGAGCAGCAGCGGGGGAGCTGGTGACCAGAGGGAGGGGCCTCTGCCAGGCCCCAGGGTGGTCCCTGCTCCTAGGGCTCTGGCTGCGGTTTGAGGACGAGGGCGAGGAAAGGGAAGGACCTGTTACACTGCCTACACAGCTATTTCTGAGTTGCATCTCCGTGGGAGGGTGGGGCGGCTCTGAGTTTAGGATGCAGGAGCTGGGAGGATTTAGTGTGACTTTGGCTGTGATGATCGCATTTCAGATAGTTTTTTCCCTTATACTATCAGTCTCGTGGATAGACGTGTTTCTCGCCAGATGCCAGGTTTGAGGCCTGTCACTGGAGGTCTCTCTGAAAATAGAATTGTCGTTTGCATGCTTATTTCAAACATAGCACCATGTTAGGAGCTGTGCAGCTCCTGGAAATGTTCGGATGCCGTAGGTGTGCAGAGCGCTTGGCTGTTCACCCTGCACTCCCCACAGACACTGCTTCTTCGCAGCTGTGTGGGCCCCGTTGAGTAAAGTGATTAGGCCCTGAATACCCCAAAGCACCCCCTCACCTGAAGGCCCCTCGTGCTCAGCGTTGACTTTGGCGTGATGGGTGGACCCTGACTGTGTGTGGATGGGGAGCTGGGGTGGGGCCACCTCTCCTAGAAGCCTCCAGGCTGGCCCAGCTGAGCGCTCACCCGCTTGCTTCATGCTTGGCCGGGCATCCGTTTGCACTTACCAGTCACAACCGCTGTGTGGTCATTTTTGCATAATCACAGCTAACATTTTGGGGGGCTCCACTTTGTGGCTGACACTGTTCTAAGCACTTTATGTGGATTCTCTTCTCAGAACAGCCCTGAAAGGAAACTATGGCTGTTACCCTTGTATGAATGAGGTAACAGAGCACAGTGGTCAAGAAGCTTGTCCTAGCTTCTGCAGCTGATAAGCTGCAGGGCCAGGGCCCACCCAGCTGCAGCTCCCACCATCACCACCATCTTGTAGCAGCTCCCACTTCGGGAGTTCTGGTCGGCCCCTCCCCCGTTGCCAGCCTGTTGGATTATGTGTTGACATCATTACCCGAGGGGCCCAGGCTTAAAGAATAGTTACCAAAATGTGGAGGTGGAAAACGAGTACTTTCAGAAAGGGAGAAGAGGATGAATGTTGTACCAAAGAAAAACCCCACAAGAAACAAACGATTAGATTCTAAAAGTCGAAACTCTGAGTCCTCTGTCGGTGCCCAGGGACCCGGGAGATGAAACACAGCGATAGCATCGTGTTTATGCAGGGTCTTTGATTTCTTGGAGCATTTCCTATCTCTCTCCCCATCTGTCACCTCATTTCCAGCCCCTGCCCAGGAAGGCAGCTGCCCATTACACATGTTCATTGTCTCAACCTGGGCCTTCGCTGCCCCCATCTTCCTTTTTCACTCGATAACAGCCATGCCCGCTCCTGCAGCCAGGCATATCGCTCTGCTTTGGGAGGTTTCGGCAAATAACAGTCTCATTTGTCACCAGAGCATAAAAATCTGTCTGCTTCCCTCCCCTTCTCTAACCTTTTCTGGTTTCAAAATAGACTCATGTCTTTTTGAAAGGATAGGTTTGATGTTTTAAAAAGAACATACTGTGAATTGCTAACCATAGACAAGGGAAGCAAATCCGTGGCGTTTCTGAGGCGGGTTATTATCTCCTTCTGGGGCCTGCCACTCTGTACCCACCCCTGCTGTCTGCACACTGCCCGCCCAGTTTCTCACGGATCGCGGCTCGAGCCCGAACCCCAGGGCTGCCTCCAGGTCTGTGTCCTGGGTGAATGCCTCCCTCTCCTCACCCACCTTGGTAGCAGCTTCCGGTTCACCCTGGGGGTTGGTGGGATAACTCCAGGCAGGTAGCATCTGGGTCTCCCTGGCAACCCCTCCAGAGATGTCCAGCCACCTGTTCACTGTGTCTGGGGACACACGCAGCCCACTCCCCCGGCACAGTGGACAAGGAGGCGACCTCCGGAAAGACCCCAGTAAGCCACCTCATCTCACACCCCAGCAAGAACTAGCAATGCCACTCTGCTGCCAACTGGCTTAATTGTTTAAAACTCTTTTAAAATTAGATTTTAAGGCTATTGAAATGAGATATATTGTTCTAGAAAAATTTAAAAATATAGTTAAACAACAACAACAAAAAGACCCCCTTCCCCCACACACACTTCCCAAAGATAATGAGATGTGTTCTGATATTTTGGTGAGCTTCCTTCTAGATTCTCCTCCCCTCCAACACACACACACATATACCCAGCTCTGAGGACCGGTATTTTAAGCCTTTACCAGATTTCCCCTCAAATCCTGGTGGGTAGCAGTGACCCACCTTTTCTGCTTCCCTGGGCCTCTCCATGGCCCACCGCGAGGGCAGCCCAGTGTGGAAAGGAAGAGGTGGGTCCAGCCTGGCTAATTCTCTGGATGACTTTCAGAAGCTCAGGGAGAAGAGCCCATATCCTGCCCTCTGACGAGTGTCGAGTGTCGCTGGTGGGTGGGCACAGTGTGAGGCTGGGCCGGGAGTCCCGGTGTCCAGCGTGCCAGGGCTGTGGGGTAGATGCATTGGTGATGGCCGATGGGCCCTCTGGGCTCCTGACAGCTTGTTTCTCAGGCCCCTCTGCAGATTTCATGCCGCAGCGCTGGGCTCGGTAGGTGGCATATGCGGAAGTGGCAGTCCCTTTGGCCTAGCCATCCATTTCTGCTTGTTTATTTTTTGTACTCACCAGAGAGAGCTGAAAACAAGCTCAGAGTTTCTTATGAGGCTTAGACTTGTATCTCCTCTTCCAAGGCTCAGGCACTTGCCTCAGGCAAGGATCTGTGCGAACCACCCAGGGAACCCAGTCTCAGGATCGGAAGGGAGTGTCAACGTCAGTGAGTCTGCCCCAGCAGTTCCCTTTAACGTCCGCATCACCTCTACGATCGATGTAGTCACCTCAGCCCCACAAACGCCCCGGAGAGCAGGGCTGGGGCTCATTTTGAACCTGTCCATTCCTGTTTGAAGGATTCTTGTGATTGAGGTTATGAGCATCTAGGAACATTGGGGTCATACTTTGTAAATTTACAAAGTGCTGTCTCGCATCCATTATCTGTCTAGATGTACCTGAGGAATAGATAAAGAAAAGCCCACATATATACTGTCTTGTAGACATTTTTTTAAATACATATATTTTTATTGATTTCAGAGAGAAAGGGAGAGGGGGAGAGAGAGAGAGAGAGAGAGAGAGAAGCATCAATGACGAGAGAGAATCATTGATCAGCTGCCTCCTGCATGCCCCCTACTGGGAATCAAGCCCAGAAACTCCTGCGTGTACCCTGACCAGGAGTCAAACCGTGACCTCCTGGTTCATGGGTCGACAGTCAACCATTGAGCCACACCGGCTGGGCTGTCTTTTGATGTTTTAAGTCGAGCTGGTTGCTTGAGCCCCTAGAGCTGGAGTGGAGGATCTAGGACTCCAGCCCAGGTCCTCTGACCCCCGATCAGCTCTCTTTCCCAGATAGAAGGTTCTGTCTTCTGTTGAGCTGCAGTTCTTTCGCTGAGGCTTCCATTTGTTGGTGTTGGTTCTCCTTTTCGGGGCCATGGAGAATAAACCTTAATTTCTTTTCCTGATGCAGTTGGAAATATTCAAAGGTATTTTTTGTGTTTCCCGGGTCTTCTCCAGGTCCGTTAACCAATCTTCTCTCGTTCCATCATTTACTCAAAAAGCATTTGTTGGAAATCTGCTGTGTGTTAGGTGCAGGGGTACAGAGATAAGAGGGAGCAGGAGCCCCAGCCTCCAAGGAGACAGACAGTAAAAAGCGTAATTCAGGAATAGTGTTTGGCCTCAGATCTATACTCAATTCCCCTCTTCCCAGTTAGTCTCACCACTGTGCCCAACTCTGCCCTCCTCTCCAGAGAGTAAGCTTCCTGCTGTGTGCTGGGTGGGAGCGGGGCGGGGGTGTGCACCTGGCTGCTAGAGCAGGGGCAGGATAGGGCCTGGCTGCTCAAGCTTTCAGCTGCCTCCTGTTTTCAGCCCCCCTTCAAGAGGGAGGTGCCTCTGAGTCCGCTGGAGTTTTGCACATCGGCGTGGTTCCTGCATCCTCTTGCCCCCTCCCCCTTCCTGTACCCTCTGCACCCGCAACAGGATTCTGCCCTCAGTTTGGCTAAGTCATTTTTCTAACTTCTAAAATGGCACTGTCCTTTTTCTCTCTCTTCACGGTTGCCTTCTTTGTGCTCCTGTGGGTTCATACTTACAAACAACAGCAACAACAACAAACTGCACTGTTATTTTAGTGGTTTGGGAGTGTGTCCTCTGCCATGTTTAACTAGAAGTTTCTCAGGCATTTGCATATGCTTCTGCTGCTAAGCCATGGCTTCTCCATTCAGTGTGTAGGCTTTGCTGGATTTGCATTATTTTAATATTAATTCCATTCATATAATTAATTTTTAAAAGATACTTAAAAATTATACACTGAAAAGTCTTGCTTTCACTTGTTTTCTCCCTCTTACCCCCTAGAGCAGTGATGGCGAACCTATGAACGCATTTTTTTGGTTGTTTTTTTTTTTTTGTTAAGTGGCATTTAAATATATAAAATAAATATCAAAAATATAAGTCTTTGTTTTACTATGGTTGCAAATATCAAAAAAATTTCTATATGTGACGCGGCACCAGAGTTAAGTTAGGGTTTTTCAAAATGCTGACACGCCGAGCTCAAAAGGTTCGCCATCACTGCCCTAGAGGTAGCAACTTTGATTCGTTTCTTTATGCAGACACAGGCAAATGTGAATAAGTATTTATTAAATCTCTCCCAGCTTTGTTAGCACCGGACGGCCTATTCGGTGTGTCCTGGCAGTCTGCCCACAACAGCGGAGCAGCTTCCTGGTCCTTTGCCCTGCTCAGCCCTCTGTCGAGTGGACGGGCTGCAGGCTACCTACCCATCTCCCACCAATGACACTGGGCTATTTTCAGTCTTTGCTATGACAAGTCGCCTACAACGAATACTTTTGAATGCACATAATTTTACTGCGTGCCGGTGTATTGTAAAGATAAATTCTCTGCAGTGGAATTGGTGGTGTGTTTGGAGGGGTTGGTATTTTGATCCCAAGCATAGGAATTTAGGTTTCTTTGTGTTGGTCTGAGACCATGTCTGGCTGGTGACGTTCCGAAGCTTGGTTTTGCCACCAGCCCCATTTGATGTTGGATGCACAAGAGCTGAGAGTGGGGTGCCATCTCCCTGCCGCTCCCCATTACTCGGGACAGGATGACTGAGGCTGCCAGCGGGGCCTGGTCAGAAGCACCAGGAGGGCTTCCGAGAGGGGGGCGGGTAGCGTCACACCCAGGCCCTGCTGTGCGGTAGGGTGGCGGATTCCGTTGTGTCCACCACATTGCTCTCATAAATCCTCAGCCCTGGCCGCTGGAACTTTACACTTTTCTACTATCTGCTCTGAGACGCGGGAAACAATGGTTGTCTTTTCACATTTGTCGTCCTAATGGGTTTTTTCAAAGCGGCAATTAAGGTGCTTGTGGCAGTGAAGCACCAGGGAGCTCGCGTCACCAGCCACGGAGGGCACCTGAGTGCCTCCCGCTCAGAGAGCAGACAGCTGGCCATGTGGACCCCAGCACACAGTCACCCCGGGCGGACAGAAGCGGGCTTCACAGAGGCTGGGGGCTCCGAGGTTTTGCAGGCAGCGATGGTGGCGTCGGGATTTGGACTCGCCCCAAGCGGCTCTTTCTGCTTCAGCTCTGCCTCGGGGAGAGCTAGATAAGCTTGGCCTGGTCTCTCGGAAGGCTTTGTGATGTACCACATGCTGCCATACTTAGGGTACCCCCAGCCCGGTTCGCTTGGCCCCCCCCTCTTGCTTTCCATGACCTCCTCCCACACTGGTCACCCAGGAGGCAGCCTCTCTCTTTCCACCTCACCCCCATGTGCACCCTCCTCCCCTATGGTCTTCCCTCTCCTGGTCCCTGCTGGTGGGGCACTGCTAGACAGCAAGCTTTCCAAAGGCCACTCTGCTGTGCTATTTGTTCTCGCCAGTTTGCTGAAAGAGCTTGAGAAGCTCACAAACCTCCAGATTCTGGGGAGGCAGCGACATTTCCTGAGCTGCCTAGAGAGCTATCGCTGCACCCCGCTCTTCATGATGGGACATCAGCGAAGCACTTCCGAGGGGCTTTGAGGGGACAGTGGAGGTGGGCAGGGCCAGGCCACTCACCCCTCCGCTCCGCTC